TGTATGATCCTATTGTCATAAATAATAAAAAATAAATATAAATATTTTAGGTCTGAACAAACATATTTTTTAATTTATATTTTTTTAAAAATAAACAAAAATCAATTTATAAAATTTTTATAAATATAAAATGAAAAGTAAACTAATGTTGCCAAACGGCAGTAAATGTTACAGGGAACTAACTTGTCCTCTTCTTCTTATGGTGCTCGCGGAGGTTTTTCTCTCATTCTATCTTTCTTTCTTGTTTAATTAATTTCCTTAGTTAGTCTTTCTGAATCTTGTGTTGTGTCATCGGAAATGCGATGCGAGGGCATTTGATTGACACTGTGAGACTTGCTATTGAATTTATTAGGTTTGGAGGAGGCTGTCGCGGCTACAATTCAAGCATATCGTTCGAACAAAAGATATTGAAACTGGAAGAAGATAATCAGCTGGCTGAAGAAGAGATAGCCAAGATTCGGCGCGAATTCGATGCTGCAAAACAGAGTTTTTTCAAGATTCCTGACGCTCTTAAGGGAATGCAGAAGATGGATCCCAATGGTATATTAATCTTTATTTGTTTACTACTTTTTAATCATTTCTTCATTCTTTTAGTTTATTATTATTATTTTTTAACTTCTTGTATTGATTGCCTTTTTCATAATGGCAATTAGGTATATATGTCAATAAGAACCTGAGATTGGAGAATATTCAAGTTTATGGCTTTGACTATGACTATACATTGGCACATTACTCTGCTAACTTACAGAGTTTGATATATGAGCTTGCCAAAGAACATTTGGTTAATGAGTTCTGGTACTATATTGGAGTATTGCCTTATGTTATCAATGTTGATGTTTTATGAGCTATGCTGAGTACTCATTGCGATTTTCATCTTTTTGGACTATGTTGTTGTGGTGCTTTCAGCTTAGGTATCCTGGTAGTTGCTTGGAATTCAAATATGATCCCACCTTTCCCATTAGAGGTTTGTACTATGACAAGCTAAAAGGGTGCCTTTTGAAGTTGGATTTCTTTGGGTCAATTGAGCCTGATGGATGCTACTTTGGTCGGCGCAAGGTACTTTACTGTATGCATTTTCAATACTTTAAAGAATCACCTAGATTAAGTTACGACAGGGAAAATTAGGAGGGTTGGAAAGGACTTTACTGCCTGGTGTCTGGCAGAAAAGATGCATTGCAAGAAAAGACTTGTACTCACTGACATCAGATTGTATACAAAAAAATCCGTTGGATTTCCGTGAAAAGAACTTCTAAAATGTTCCCATTTCCAAGCTAACCAAAAGAACACGTGAAACAAATTTTTGATCCTTCGTTTATATGTAATTGAGTAATTGATGTATTCTACCCAATTTTGAAAAAATTGTTATCTTTAATTGTTTTAATCCATATGAATTTACAGTTTACCAAGAAGGAAATAGAACAAATCTATGGCACAAGACATATTGGCCGTGATCAAGCACGTGGACTCGTCAGTTTGATGGATTTCTTTTGCTTTAGTGAGGTCAGATTTATTATTGTTGCATATCTATAATTATGTAGCCTCAATTCATTTTGTTGGTTCTTCCTGTCTTCCTTTTCTTGTTCTTACTTTTGTCTTCATTCACTTAGTTTCATGGTTTTAATTCCCAATTTATCATTTGACTGTGGGATGCTCATTCAGAAATTGTTTTTAATACACACACTTTGGCTTGAACATGGTCGACAAGTTTGGCTCTTCACTGCTAGAATTTTCACATAAAATATGTAGTTGCATTGTTTCTAAGTAAATGTGAAATAGTCCATTTGAAACATTTTCAGGATTTCCCTAAACAAATTGTATCGAGGGAAATCATTGAAGTTATGTATTTCTTTAACGAACATACAATCCTCTATATTATGTATAGGGTATAGTTAATTCAGTATCATGTCCCAGATTTTCGTCTTCTTCACTCCTTTTAATAATCTGACTGTAAACTCATCCATGCATGTAAAAAATGGGATAATCTGTGTTATTTATCCATTTTTTAAATTGGGTGTTTATATTCTCTTTTGTTTATCCCTTAATTACAGAGCATGGTAATTTGTTTTTCCGTCTTATGCTGTTCTCCTTTTCCATTTGTTAGAGACAATGACGTAGGAGAAGTGCAGCAACACATGCTCTCTAACTCTTAACAGAGTGCGCAAAATTAATGTAGGGTGGCATCATGGCATGGTAGGATTATTCAGGGGTGGATTACTGGTAGTTTATGAAGTTGGAATGGTTGGCAAAATTATAGAAGTTATTAAGGTTTTGTTGGGTAACAAAAGGGCGGGGATTGACATGAAAGATGGGAATTTGTGGACAGATCAGGGGCTGATTTTGTAGATCTTTATATCTTAGGTGAATTGTCTAGGGTTGTAAATTAGGATCAAAATTTAAAGAAAAGGTAAATTAGATCATGTTTGGAGGTTTGAAGGCTTAAAATCATGGTATTAAAAACCAGCCGAGTTGTAGGGTAGTGGCCGCTTCGGACCGGAATTTTGGAAGCCCGAGTAGGTTACACCCCGCTTTACTGGGCTGAATCAAAATTGCCGCTGAATAGTCTGGTTCACTTTATTTTCAAATAAAAAGAAATTTATTTAAAATCTTAAAACTTGCCAGATTGCAACTATCCATATGGCTTTAAACGCATTGTATGCTGTAGTAGCCTATTACAAAGAGATGTAGCACCCCAAGTTGGTTTGATTGCCTGATGTGGGATTGCTGTATTTTGTATAGAAGCAAGGAAATGAAACGGGTGTTTATAATTGACTTGTGATGGCTCATAGCCCTTCTCTACTCAATTTGGGATTGATGCCATATTGATAAAACGCAAAGCCAAGCTCCACATTTTCTTTCCTGAGCATTTTCCAGTGCATCAATCCATCTATTGCTTGTTAAGTGTGTATTTTTTTAGGGGGGGTTAACATTAATTTTCTTTATTCATAAGCAATACATATTTTTAGATGTCACAATATTGATTAAAACATAACAAATTAAGATTAAACCCTATATATAGACTATAGGCAACTGTAACCTAATAGAACATCGACTTCCAATTAAGAAACTGAGACATGATTTCATAAGCTGAGTTTTGGAAGAAATGATAGAAGACCAAATGAATGCATTCATAGAAAATCATAAGTGGCATGACCATTTTAGACCTTATGGGTTCTGATATAGGATAAATGACCTGGGAGTCACGGGTTCAAACATACAAAACTTTTCCACACATGGGGGTAAGACTGCATATATTTAACCCTCTCTAGATCCACAGTGGCGGGAACCTTGTGCACTGAGACTGCCCTTTTTGATGTAGGATAAATGACATCATCATAGATGGCATTATGTGGATGCATGTACTGGACAATTAAAGAATGAAAAAAATTTGTAAACATTGAGTCGTGTGCCTTCTAATGTAGAAATCTTCTTGTGTTCACATGACAAAAACTTTTGTAGCTCCTTTCTTTTGATTGACTAACTTTAGATATAAGTTTGGTGCTGGCTTCAATTGAAATGTATGATCTGAGTCAGTATTCATGAATATAAGAAAATTTATGTATTTTTTAATAGGCCATATAAGAAAATTTATTCTACCTGTTTAATACTAGAATCATGAGTTCAATTAAAATTTATCCTCTTATGTCCAAAACCATATATTATTGACTTTAATTTAAAATATCAAGTGTGATCATTCCCATCCAATCAAAAAAGCTTCTCCCCCCCCCCTATTGGATGAATGGATTTCCTGATTTTGATGAATTGCAAGATAGAAAAAATCTTTGTTTTTTTTATTATTATCAATTTTATCAATTATTTGAGTCTTAGTATTTTTATTATTGTTGGCATCAATATTATCAATTCAACTTAGGTTGCATTCTTAGTTTTTTTTTGCCATTAATGATAGATTTTATAGAAATGGAAATGTAACACTCAATTATACAGTTTGAACACAAAACCTTTACATATGGTGGAATGACATATTCCATTAAATATAGTTTATACATATATATTCTCTGGAAGATTTGTGTGCTCAATGCAAAAGAACTGAGTTGTTCACGAACAACTCAAACTTGGCTCTTTTAAAACTCGTTTAAGATCAAGCCAAATTACATGATTGTTCCATTCCCTGATATACACGAAAAAGAAAAGCAAAAAAGTAATCCGATGTCTTTTATTTTAAGCACTGTTTCTGTTCTTTAGTCTTTTGTTTACAGTGCATAGTTATATATACAGCATGGATTCCGTTGCATTTATGCTTATCGTTTGCCTGGAATCTTGATTTCTAGGTCAGCAGAACTATCTCTGTAATTTTTATTTATTTTCTTGTTAATTGCGCTTGGTAATTTTTCTCTTCTTGCCCTGAATATGCTTTTTGTTTTTGATTTCGTAGGCCTGCCTTATTGCTGATATTGTGCAACATTTTGTTGACGCAAAGCTCGAGTTTGATGCACCCTATGTCTATCAAGATGTAAATCGTGCAATTCAGCATGTTCACGGAAGTGGCTTGGCTCATAGAGGAATTCTATCTGATCCACAAAGATACCTTGTTAAAAATGTGCGCGACGATGAACTCTGTTCTAATATTTGTATAATTTGCTTTTATTGTTTGAGGTCTCCTGTTCTTAACTCATTCTCAGGTTAGTGGTGGCTCATTGTAAAATGGGACAACGGCTATACTATATTTCGTCAATTTTAATCTATTATACTGGACACTTGAAAAATTGTTATTGTATGGTTAAACCTTGCAGAGTCAGCTGCTACGCTTTCTCAGGATGCTAAAGGAAAATGGGAAGAAACTTTTCTTGTTAACCAACTCTCCGTATTATTTTGTGGATGGAGGGATGCGTTTTATGTTAGAGGTGACACTCAGAAAAGATATCCCCTGATCACCTTTATTTTTATATTCCTTTTGTATTTGCATCCTTCTACATATTGCTGGAACTCCTGGAGATTTTTTCTAGTTTCAATTTGGACTTTGTTGTTACTGGTTTTGAAACTGAACTTTTGTCGTTGTGATTATTGCTTGTCGTTTAATTTGGTAGTTTATGAAGTTGGAATGGTTGGCAAAATTATAGAAGTTATTAAGGTTTTGTTGGGTAACAAAAGGGCGGGGATTGACATGAAAGATGGGAATTTGTGGACAGATCAGGGGCTGATTTTGTAAATCTTTATATCTTAGGTGAATTGTTTAGGGTTGTAAATTAGGATCAAAATTTAAAGAAAAGGTAAATTAGATCATGTTTGGAGGTTTGAAGGCTTAAAATCATGGTATTAAAAACCAGCCGAGTTGTAGGGTAGTGGCCGCTTCGGACCGGAATTTTGGAAGCCCGAGTAGGTTACACCCCGCTTTACTGGGCTGAATCAAAATTGCCGCTGAATAGTCTGGTTCACTTTATTTTCAAATAAAAAGAAATTTATTTAAAATCTTAAAACTTGCCAGATTGCAACTATCCATATGGCTTTAAACGCATTGTATGCTGTAGTAGCCTATTACAAAGAGATGTAGCACCCCAAGTTGGTTTGATTGCCTGATGTGGGATTGCTGTATTTTGTATAGAAGCAAGGAAATGAAACGGGTGTTTATAATTGACTTGTGATGGCTCATAGCCCTTCTCTACTCAATTTGGAATTGATGCCATATTGATAAAACGCAAAGCCAAGCTCCACATTTTCTTTCCTGAGCATTTTCCAGTGCATCAATCCATCTATTGCTTGTTAAGTGTGTATTTTTTTTTGGGGGGGTTAACATTAATTTTCTTTATTCATAAGCAATACATATTTTTAGATGTCACAATATTGATTAAAACATGACAAATTAAGATTAAACCCTATATATAGACTATAGGCAACTGTAACCTAATAGAACATCGACTTCCAATTAAGAAACTGAGACATGATTTCATAAGCTGAGTTTTGGAAGAAATGATAGAAGACCAAATGAATGCATTCATAGAAAATCATAAGTGGCATGACCATTTTAGACCTTATGGGTTCTGATATAGGATAAATGACCTGGGAGTCACGGGTTCAAACATACAAAACTTTTCCACACATGGGGGTAAGACTGCATATATTTAACCCTCTCTAGATCCACAGTGGCGGGAACCTTGTGCACTGGGACTGCCCTTTTTGATGTAGGATAAATGACATCATCATAGATGGCATTATGTGGATGCATGTACTGGACAATTAAAGAATGAAAAAAATTTGTAAACGTTGAGTCGTGTGCCTTCTAATGTAGAAATCTTCTTGTGTTCACATGACAAAAACTTTTGTGGCTCCTTTCTTTTGATTGACTAACTTTAGATATAAGTTTGGTGCTGGCTTCAATTGAAATGTATGATCTGAGTCAGTATTCATGAATATAAGAAAATTTATGTATTTTTTAATAGGCCATATAAGAAAATTTATTCTACCTGTTTAATACTAGAATCATGAGTTCAATTAAAATTTATCCTCTTATGTCCAAAACCATATATTATTGACTTTAATTTAAAATATCAAGTGTGATCATTCCCATCCAATCAAAAAAGCTTCTTCCCCCCCCCTATTGGATGAATGGATTTCCTGATTTTGATGAATTGCAAGATAGAAAAAATCTTTGTTTTTTTAATTTTTATCAAATTTATCAATTATTTGAGTCTTTACTATTTTCATTGTTATTGGTATCAATATTGATCAATTCAACTTAGGTTGCATTCTTAGTTTTTTTGTGCCATTAATGATAGATTTTATAGAAATGGAAATGTAACACTCAATTATACAGTTTGAACACAAAACCTTTACATATGGTGGAATGACATATTCCATTAAATATAGTTTATACATATATATTCTCTGGAAGATTTGTGTGCTCAATGCAAAAGAACTGAGTTGTTCACGAACAACTCAAGCTTGGCTCTTTTAAAACTCGTTTAAGATCGAGCCAAATTACATGATTGTTCCATTCCCTGATATACATGAAAAAGAAAAGCAAAAAAGTAATCCGATGTCTTTTATTTTAAGCACTGTTTCTGTTCTTTAGTCTTTTGTTTACAGTGCATATTTATATATACAGCATGGATTCCGTTGCATTTATGCTTATCGTTTGCCTGAAATCCTGATTTCTAGGTCAGCAGAACTATCTCTGTAATTTTTATTTATTTTCTTGTTAATTGCGCTTGGTAATTTTTCTCGTCTTGCCCTGAATATGCTTTTTGTTTCTGATTTCGTAGGCCTGCCTTATTGCTAATATTGTGCAACATTTTGTTGACGCAAAGCTCGAGTTTGATGCACCCTATGTCTATCAAGATGTGAATCATGCAATTTAGCATGTTCACGGAAGTGGCTTGGCTCATAGAGGAATTCTATCTGATCCGCAAAGATACCCAGTTAAAGATGTGCGCGACGACGAACTCTATTCTAATATTTGTATAATTTGCTTTTATTGTTCGAGGTCTCCTGTTCTTAACTCATTCTCAGGTTAGTGATGGCTCATTGTAAAATGGGACAACGGCTATACTAGTATATTTGGTTAATTTTAATCTATTATACTGGACACTTGAAAAATTGTTATTGTATGGTTAAACCTTGGAGAGTCAGCTGCAACGCTTTCTCAGGATGCTAAAGGAAAATGGGAAGAAACTTTTCTTGTTGACCAACTCTCCGTATTATTTTGTGGATGGAGGGATGCGTTTTATGTTAGAGGTGACACTCAGAAAAGATATCCCCTGATCACCTTTATTTTTATATTCCTTTTGTATTTGCATCCTTCTACATATTACTGGAACTCCTGGAGATTTTTTGTAGTTTTAATTTGGACTTTGTGGTTACTGTTTTTGAAACTGAACTTTTGTCATGGTGATTATTGCTTGTCGTTTAATTATGTATAAACTTTCCTAATTTTGTCAGCATTCTACTTTTCTGATTTGCCTATTGTTGACCCGTGTTATATTAAATGCAAATTGCAAACCATATACAGAAAACTGTATTGGGTAAGACACGTGCATATAAGAGCTCTAAAGAGAGCTCCAGTAATGTGGCAAGGAGTGGGGCGCACATGTGATGTGATGTGATGTGTGTGCCTATGTTTTTTTTTTCTTCTCTTGCCACTTCACTAGAGCTCTCTATCATTGTTGATTTAGTTAAATGTGAAAAAACATTAACTACATTAATGAGTAAGAAGTATATACACTTTGCCGTAACCAATTTTTTGGGGGGCAACTTGTATGGCCGAAGCCCTAAGCAGGGATAACTCTAGGATTTGCTGATCCTAACAATACATTGTACAACAGAGTTCTCAACCCTAGAGAGGGATCCTCCAATCATTGTTGGTTTAGTTAAATGTAAAAAAACATTAACTACATTAATGAGTAAGAAGTATATACACTTTGCCGTAACCAATTTTTTGGGGGGCAACTTGTATGGCCGAAGCCCTAAGCAGGGATAACTCTAGGATTTGCTGATCCTAACAGTACATTGTATAGCAGAGTTCTCAACCCTAGAGCGGGATCCTCCATGTTCGCTTCTGGACAAGTTATCCCAAACCTTGTAAAACTAGTTCACACATTTATTAGCCTCTATAAGTCTGGACCACGTGATACTGACGCCGTGCGTGGCCTTCAGATGGCAGTGTTCTCAAGATTGTTGTTCCTAACTCTAAACCACTTTAGTATCCAGTTGACCACCAGAACGCTTATCTAATAGAAAACAAAAGAAACTGGACATGCGTATTAGAATCTAATACTGTTCTTTGTTTGTGCACGCGGGCTCGAAAAAAAAATTATTGTTTATCATGTGCATCAGTTGTATGTTAAGATTTGAATTACCTCCTCCTTAACATTCGTGAAGATTGTTGCATCTAGGTATTTAAAATTGCATAACTTTTCTTGATTGTTTAATAAATATATATTATATGTATTTGTGTCTTCTACGCTAGGTGTGTTTTAATTTTCTGTCGTTGTCAATCAGTCTCTCTGGGACAATTTTAATGTAAACCATGAAATGTTTATATGTCATGTTTTTCTCCCATTTCCAATGGAAGTCAGATCCTTTGTGACAGTCAAAACTCTACATTTTCTCTCAAGTTGCAATGTCAACCCTTCGTCAATGATTCCTGTTCAATTTGAATGGAATTAAATTAAACATGTGGTTGTTACATGACTTAATTTGGTAGCACATTAAATCTTTATCCCACCATATTTCTCTGAAGACTCACTTTAATCCCTAAGATTTGATATGACAGATCAACTAATTTTTAAGTCATGCGATAGACCCATGGTCAGTTTCAGTTCATCTAAGAAGCATCGATACTTCTAAGAAGGTGGTGTGTCTGTGTTGGACAAGTGTCGGACACCGATACTCATCGGACATTTCATGACACATGTCCAAATGTTTAGATATTATTTTAAAATTGTTTTTTAACACAGGCTGTCGGGCACACTTGGGACCCTTGGGGACAGGCATGACCATTGCTTAAACATATATGAAACACATTACAATTTTGAACAAAATAACTAAAAGGATACAATGATAAAAGAACAGCTTTAAACTTTAGATAATAGTGTTGTGTTGCAGTTTTTAAATTCTATTTGTAATGATAATATCTATGACATATCTAAAATATATAAAATTATATAATTTGTGTGCTCCTCACATATCGTGTCCTGCATTTTTTTAAAAAATCGTCCTATCAATGTGTCCGTGTTGTATGTGTGTAATTTCATGTCATGTGTCCATGTCCATGCTTGTTAGCTGTTCCTCTTCTAAATGGAAGTTGATAGAGGGTTGACATTGAAATTTAACTAGAATTACAGGGTTGCGACCATCAAAATTGGAAGTACATGAATTAAAGTGGAATTTAAGGTAAAATACAACGGTGCAAACTGTAATTTATCCTTTACCAATTTAGCATTATGTACCCATTTGTTTTTCTTTTTCTTTTTTCTCCCACATTTGTGTATCGAGTATTTTGTTTCCTTTTTTTTTTTGTTTTTTTGTTTTGGGTTGATCTTTTCTTACTTTTTCTGAATTTCTATTGCTGATCTATATGGAAACACTGAAATTAAGTTTTTTAGTTGTCTTTTAACATTTGAATTAGGATTCTTTGGGTGAAAGAGACTCCTGGAGGGAGCTTTTTGATGTTGTGATTGCTGAAGCGAATAAACCAGAATTTTACACATCCAAGAATCTGTTCCGGTGTTTTCTTCAACTCTAAGCTCTCCAGCTGTTTTGTCACATTTTTACATTAAAAAACGGAATATTGCTTTCTTGTGCTTCCTACTTTGACAGTTTCCCTTAAAATATTTCCGATCTTTGTTTTTTGATTGAGCCTTTTAAAGGACTGATTGTGTGATGTAATTTTGCTTCTGTAATTTGTGGGCTCATTTTGTTGAATTCTCTTATAGTTTTAACATTACAATTTTGTGTTTTTGTTTTGTGTACTTCTTGCCTCTACATGGGCTTTGTCCCTTTTCAAGGGTTTTTAATGGTCATAGAAGCCACATTTGAGGTTGGATAGCAGCTATGAATCTTGAAATTGGTTTTGACAGCTGAGGTTCTTTGAGGTGCTATTCTCTTTAATTTAGTTATATTACTTGGACTTAGGTGAGAGTGGGCCTGGGCGCAACGGTAAGGTTGCACCATTGCAACCTGGGTTTCACAGGTTCAAACCACAGAAAAAGCCTCTCTGCACCTAGGAGTAAGGCTGCATGCATTTGATGCTCCCCAAACCCCGTAGTAGCGGGAGCCTTGTGCATTGTGACTGCCCATTACTTGGTCTTAGGATGTACATCAAATGCGGATACATGTCCAAGTGTCAGGTTGATTCATTGCCAAGTCCAAAATATACAAGGACACGACAAAATGTTCATATTTTTCTTTGTTTTTGTTTGTGCTGTAAATAAAATGGTACGGTTACGTAACATTAAGCATCAAACATGGGTAATTCACTCTATTTGTGACAACTATCTAACAAAAGTAACATAGTAAAAGAGTTTTGTTTGTATGTACAACTATATAGTAAACTTGAATTTCTAGACATGTTTGCTAGGTGTGTGTCCAATGAAATATGCTGGACACACATTCCATGTAGTACTAACACAAAGGCTAAACATTAAAACAACACGATGTGAAAACCCAGCATGGTAAATTTTTTAAGTAGAACTTGGATACAGCAGTATGTAAATATATTTTTCATACATATTGAACTAGAAGATACATATGATATATTACTAATTATTTTCCAACTCTTTTCTTCATATATATATATATATATATTATGTGCATATGTTCATTACAATTAAAATCTTTGCATATATCTTGGTGGAGCTTTGGGTTCACCATCTTGTGCAGAGTTGGCCTGAACCATACGACAAGTGGTCGGGCTATTGTATCCTGGAGGGGACAAGTCATAGTGTTGTGACTGCTGCATCGGTATTTGGATTCTTCCTACCGCAGTGGGCTTGATCTCCTTAAAGAAAACGAGATATCTGTGCCTCGGCCTGATCTATTTGTATCTCATTTTCTTTGCATCATTTATCAATAATATAGTTTAGTTTCTGGTATTTTCTCCAACAATTTTAAGGAGATCAAACATGGAACAAGTACCAGAAAAAACCAATGATGGAATTGGAGATCTCAACAAACCTTTCAAGTTCAAAGGAGTTCATTTTTAGAGGTGGAAAGGAAAAGTTCTCTTTTACCTTAGCCTTTTGAAAGTTGCATATGTTCTTACCGAAAAGAATCCGAACAAAATCCCAATCGAGGAGATGAGTGATGAAGACTATGAGGCACATGAAGCAAAAGTGGCTTTCTATAATACAGATGAGTATAAATGTCGCTTTTATCTCTTAAATTGCCTTGCTGATCAATTTTATGATTACTATGACACCACTTACACTTCCGTAAAGAAAATTTGGAAAGCTTTACAGACTAAGTATGATGCCGAAGAGGCAGGAGCAAAAAGGTATGCTGCTAGCCGGTTTTTCCGCTTCCAAATGGTAGATGGAAAATCCGTTGTGGAGCAAGCACAAGATTTCCAAATGATAGTTGTAGAAGTAAGATCTGAAGGCATCAAGATTGGTGACAACTTGGTAGTTGCAGGACTTGTTGACAAGCTACCGCCATCCTGGAGAGAATTCCAAAAGAGTATGCGTCACAAACAAAAGGAGACTTCCTTAGAGACGTTGATCACTCGCATCCGAATAGAAGAGGAGGTTAGAGGCCAAGATGCATTAATAACACAAGCGGGTAATGGCAATTCTACCACAAAGGTAAACTTTGTTTCAGCAAATAATAACTTACCCAAAGGTCATAATTCCAAGAATGCTTGTTTGAAGCCTTATAAAAAGAATATGAAGAATTATGATAAACCTCACAATAAGTGGATTAATCCAGATAAGAACCAAGGTCCATCACCTCCACAAAATTTACATGCTTTGTCTGTGGCAAAAGTGGGCATATTGCTCGAACTTGCAAATTCTGAAAACGTGCACCTGCCCCAAAGGCTAACATTATTGAGGAGCCATTTGTGGCTATGATTACAGACATTTGCATGGTTAATTATATGGACGGTTGGTGGGCAGATTCTGGTGCTAATAGACATGTTTGTTATGATCAAACTTGGTTCAAGGTGTATACTCCCTTTCATGATGAGAAAACAATTATGCTTGGTGACTCTAGTCAAATCAAGATACTTGGGAGTGGTGAGGTTGATCTAAAATTCACCTCTGGACGTGTGCTTACTTTAAAAGATGTGCTTTATACACCGTCCATGAGGAAGAATTTGATGTCAAGTTATTTGTTGAATAAGGCTGGTTTTAAGCAAACTATGGAATCTGATCAATATGTGATTACCAAGAAGGGTATTTAAAAGACTAAAATTGTCCCTTATGAGTTGTGGCGAGGGCATAAACCAAATTTAGGTTTTTTGAGGGTTTGGGGTTGTTTA